TTCTTCTTCTTCTTCTTCTTCTTCTTCTTCTTCTTCCTCTTCCTCTTCTTCCTCTTCCACTTCCTTTTCCTCTTCTCCTTCCCCTCTTCCTCTTCTTCTCCTCCTCCTTCTCCTCCTCCTTTTTTTCCTCCTTCTTCTTATTCCCCTTCCCCTTGCTCTTCCCCCTCTCCCTCCCCCTTCTCCTTCTCATCCTCATTCTCTTCTCCTTCTCTTTCTTCTCCTTCTTCTCCTTTTTCTTCTTCTTCCTCTTCTTCTTCCTCTCCCTTTTCTCCTTCCTCTTCTCCTTCCCCCTTCCTGTTCTTTTCTTCTTCTTCTTCTCCTCTTCCTCCTTCTTTCCCCCTTCTTCTCCTTCCCCTTTCCATTGCCCTTCCCCTTCCTCCTCATCCTCACCCTCTTCTCCTTCTCCTTCTTCTCCTTCTTCTCCTTCTTCATCATCATCATCTTCTTCTTTTTATTTTGGTTTTTTTGAGACACAGTTTTTTTATGTAGCCCAGGCTTGAACTCAGTGATCCTCCTGCCCCAGCATCCTGAATGCTGAAATTATAAACATGTACCACACATCCACCTTAGCTACTCAACTTTCAAAAATCAGTATTTACATGTCACCCCCATCTGAAAATATCCCCCATGCCCAGGGGTCTGTGTAGAACCTTTCTGTGCTTCCACAGCCCTTGTGCAGTGTGAGCATCTGAAATCATATTGACACACATCATCACCACCACTGGACCAGACCAGAGCTCCTTGACAGCAGAGACAGCCTTTCCACTCTGCCTTGCACAGTGCTGATATGTAGATGGCACCACATAATTTGTGCAGGATAAGCAGTATCTCCAGCTGTCCTCTTTGCCACTGGCCTGGGTATGTTCACCTACTACCTGACCAGCTTGCCCACCATGTCCTTGCAATAAAGTCTGCCCATCTGGATCCAGATGTTTGATTCCTCCTCTGACTTTTTACTTCTCCCATGGATCTGGGCTACCCCTCAGTGCTATTTAAACCTGTGACTCTCTATCCTACCATAGATTTCCAACAGGGCTCCAAGTGTTGCCAAGCTCAGGTGGTGGCCAGAGGCCAGCACCCAGACCAGATGGCCTCCCATACTGTGCCACACACATACCCAGCAGTGCCACCTCCCCAATGAACAGCAGCACAAATCCACACATTGGAAGCTTCAGCTTCCAATTTACTGATCAAACATATATATTCGTGACATTTCAGATACAGAAATCATCCCATGGAACATGCCCAAGTTCCAAGTCAAATAAACATCTAGTTTAAGAATATACACATTCGCCCATGATTTCATCTCCCACCATGTCTTAAGGGAGGAACTATCAAAAGCTGAGTAGTGTCTTATGAACATAAATGTCTTCATTACTAACATCTGTTTTCCACTCACTCATGTTAGACTCTCTGATTAAAGTATCATCTCAGAGCCAACTTCTCAGTATTGGTTCAAAAGAAAGTTCAAAAACTTGATGAAAGTTCAGAAAGTTCTTGAAATTTGTTGTAAATGAAACAGATAAGTTATTTGGGGGATGCTTTTTAGAAGTCGCAAAGAGAAGAGAGCTGGCCCAGGACTCACACGTTATGAGGTGCAGTGCAGGACCCAGAGGTGAGAGCTAGGTGTCAAGGGTACACACCCTGGATGTGTGTCAGAGGATGCGCACAGGAAACAGTCATCCCCAACCCCTCAGTTCGTTCACTACCTCACACAGTACTCAGGGAGCTACACTGAAGCACTCAGGCATCCACAAGTAAATACTGCCTATTATTAGCTGCAAAGAAAGGCATGATCCTGTGTGCCTCTCATAGTCTCAATTCTCTGGCTTCCTTCCAGAGAAAACTATTCACAGCAAAAGCCCTCCCAGGCTCATCTTTTCTCCTTTTGTCTCTAGTCCTCTCTTGAGCCCACTCCAATCTAACCCACTTCCCCACCCACCCATCGAGAATGTCAAAGTCACAACGAACCAGACATTTGCTAAATTCAATAGTCAGTTCTTGTCCCCATCTTACTTGACTGTCAGCACATCCCTAGGTGGAAGAACATCAAGTCTTACTTGAACTTGGGCAGCTCCTCCTCCCTCCTGCTTTTTTATTTGCCCTCCAGAGCTCCATACCTGGTTTTCCTTCTGCC